CATTACTGAGCATACACTGTACTCATTAATGATTGGCAGTTTTAACATTGATGATTCCGCTTGCAGACTCCCAATCATAGGCGGCTGCAGGGGCAGGCAATGAGGGCAATGCCCTACTAGAATTTCTTACCGGAAGATGACATCATCATAATTAGCAGTTAATTAATAATTATTTAGTAGTTATTACATGGAATATAGCTATTTTAATGACATAAAACTCAAGAACAAGACATGTGGGTGTGGTCATAACCACACCTACTTTTTGACCACTCCCACTTTCAGCCACACCTTTGCCCTACTTGCAGTGAAATCCTGCAGCCGCCTATGCTCCCAATTGCCAAAATAAAACGCCCAGTTAAAGTGCTATATGGTATACTGCAATACAAAATGTATCCCTCCCAAATAATACAGTATTCAATGCCCACTACAGCATACTGTACCTGTGAGACAGTGGTTTCCTTCCCCGGTCAGTTGGTGGGTTACACGCTCCTACAAACTGTATCCTCTCTATTGTCACCCACGTGTGATCGGAGGTCCTGTAAAATCCGCCGTGTTCGACAATCTGACGTAAGAACGATATTACTCCCTGTGTACCTTTAATTAGAAAAAAAAATTTTTTTTAATGAAACATTAAAAAAGAGAATGACATCTCTCTAAAGTGTATTTGGATTGAATGGATTCACATAAGCTTGTTATAACTTTATATTCACTAATTTTATTGTAAAATCAATACTCCTTACCATATATGTCAAGGTCTGGAAGGTTAATCTCGTCACAGAAGAGAACCAGCCACTTTCTGAGTTGAGAAGGAGCCATCACAACTCCATTGGGAGTCCTCTTGTACTCACATTAATGATCAAACCTCTTTAATAATAGCTCAGGGGTAGTGGCTGATGAGACATTAAGACCAACAACCTGGAGAAAAATAGAAAGGGGAAAGAGAATCAAACAGAAAAAACAAAGAAGATAACAAAGACATTTTCACATAGAAATATGCAAGCAAAAAATCTCATACATACAATGTAGTACATGCACTGTAATTCATAAATACATGTACGTGAGTACATCTACATGTACGTACATGTACATATACTGTACATATTGTATATACATTAGTGATGCACCGATACACATTTTTCATTTTTCAAAATTATTTTATTTTGTGCAAATTGCATTAACATGGCCGATACCGATACTTTTATGAAAATTTTTTTGAGAATAAAACTATTCAATTTTTATCCTTAACAGCAATCATTGATTAGTGTCATTAATGTTTATAGTTAAAAATTGGTAGGTTCTTTCTTAAAAACAGTAGCATCTCTGCTTCCTCTGTACTCAAACTGTTTTTTTCATGTCATTTTGTGGATGTGATTATTATTTTTATTAAAAATTATTATACTTTACAACAATTCTTATATCAGTAACTCTTTTCGGCTATAATGATATCAACCAATTTTGATAAAAATGGGCCGATACCGATAATAGTATTGGTATCAGTGCATCACTAGTACATGTACATGCACTGTAATTCATAAATACAGGTACGTGAGTACATCTATATGTATATACATGTACAGTATACCACAAAAAAAGGCTAAGTAGCTACTGCGCAGTTACCTTTGTACTTCGTTGACGCTGCGATTGAATTGCGTTGACGGGGGCGTTACTAGAATGCGGATCAGTGCGGATTGCTGCGGATCGTTCCGCACGCTGAACCAAGCACGTGAACGCGCGGAACGTGCACGGGCGTGTGCCTAGAATGTGGATCAACTCCCAAGAATTCAGAATATACACCATAACTTCCCGAGAATCAGTCCTCTTGTTCTTCTATTCCACTCAATCTTTATTTGTTGCAATGTTTAACTGTTTATAAAGTAAAATAACTATTTTTTAAATGTTGTAATTTCAAACTTTGAATGTACGAGATTTCAGTGATGATATCAAAAGCCTTCAGTCATTGGTCATAGAATAGATT